TTAAGGTATGACATACCTGTTTTCCCTCTATATTATATTCAGTAACCACCCCCCAAGATTAAAAAATTTACTTTGTTTAAATTTAATGGGATTTCTAGTACTGATTAAGGGGATGCAGCCTTGCCAATTGATATATTTCAGCAGATGTACAGTTAACTTAAAAAAAAACAAGAACTAAGAGGGCTGAGGATTTAACTCAGAAGCACAGCACCTGCCTGGCAAGCACAAGATCCTGAGTTCGATCCCCAGTACCAAAAAACCCACACACAAAACACAGTTAACTTAGAATTGGTGTTCTGGAGGCACCAGTGCCAACCCCTGCCCTTTCATCTGTTTGTTGCATAAATTCTTATAAATTTTGGATTACTAACTGGGTCACATTGTGGTTTTCTGCTTCAGCTTTGTTTTGCGTGTTGCCTCCCAGTTATGGTGCAAATTATGTCCCCTCAGATTCATATGTTGAAGCCCTGACCACCCCCAATGTGATGTACAGTACATAGAGATAGGACCTTTAGAAGGCAATTAGTGAAGTCTTAAGGGTTGGTATCCCCTTGAGTCTAATAGGATTGGTACCCTTATAAAATGACACCCTTAAACTGGAAGGAACCAAGAGTTGAGGGGTGAAATGAAAATTAAGACGTGTTATGTACATGGACCAACTCCACACAAGGAATGTAACCATTATGTATTGCAAGCATGCCCTGATAAAAATAAAAATTGAGGGGCCGGGGATTTAGCTCAGTGCTTTCGCCGCCTGCTGCGCAAGCACAAGGACCCAAGTTCAATCCTCGGTACCAAAAAAATAAATAAATAAAAATAAAAATTGAGGGGAAAATACTTCCTTATACAAAGAGGAAGAGGCTAGAAAGTCTCCCTACACACACATAGGACATGTGAGGGTCCGGCGAGAAGATGGCCACCTGCAAGCCAGGAAGAGACACCTCAAAGAGCTTTCTCTCGCTACAAGTAAATGCTGTGTGTGTGTGTGTGTGTGTGTGTGTGTGTGTGTAAGTGTACGTACGCCAACACACACAGACTGGGCATGGAACCCAGGGCCTTCTCACTGAGCTACATCCCCAGCCCCTTTTACTTTTTGTTTTGAGACAGGCTCTCTCTCAGTCACTAAATTGCCCACACTGGGCCAAAATTTGCAGTCCTCCTGCCTCAGCTTCCCAGAGTGCTGGGATTACGGGCTTATGTCACCACAGTCAACACTAAAAGTGAAAGCATTTGAGGTGATTTGTTTTTCATTTTGTTACTGTTAACATACCATTTGTTTCCATAGATATTTGTCAGGGACACTTGACTCAATTTTTAATTTGGGAATAAAAATTGTGTAACTGAAAGCTAAATGTAGAAAGTATATACAGAACATAGAGTTAAAAGGTAGCAGATAATTAGATTAGTATTATACCGTCTATCTTACTAGCTAAAGATCTGATATTTTAACTGGGTGATGGGATGTAAGAATATTGTTTTCTTGAGTAAGATTTTGAGAATTTAAAAATAGTGGAGGACCAGGGATTTAGTTCAGTGGCGCCACGCCTGCCTCTCAAGTGCAAGGTTCTGAGTTCAATCCCTGGTACCAGTAAATAAATAAATACAGTGGAACCTAAAAATTTAACCTCTTTATATAAATAATGATCATTAATAGGTCATTTCAATAGAAATATTTCTTATTAGGGAATTTCTATGTCTATTTGATAGAAAACAACCTCTAGGCATTAAATTATGAAAAACAATACCTAATTAAGTAAATTTTTCTTTCAATTTGACCATAACATTTTAGTATCAAATAAGCTGCATAATACTTTCTATTTTCTAATTAACACTTTAGGGTCTAAGCTGTGAAGGGAAACATGCATATAGTTTATGTAAAAATACAGTATACTTCTCCATCAGCCTCCATAACCCCCAAATTATTAAAAATTGTCAGAGACACCATGTCTTTGAATGTAGCGGGCTTTGTGACAAAAATTCATCCCAAAATTTGTAATACAATTTAAGTTTCTTTATAAGTTCTTACTTTGGTAGATATATTTTTGGATTGTTACATAAAAATACTGAATAATTTGAAACCTTACTTCTTATTTGCATTCAGTATGGAGATTTATTCCCGAGCAGGGCTTTTCTGATGCAAAATTGGAATGCTTGTGTAGTCACAACAGCTGTCCCCACACCATGTGGTATCTTCCATTACTTTACTGTAGAGATGAATTTTTGGCCCAGTGTTTGAGTAATATTGGACACACATGGTTTTAAGTGGCAAAGCAGTGTGCTCATGCATTCATTTGACTTTCACAGCTACAGTTGACTCCAGAGTAGAACAGGGAGAACACATTCACACCATGGTCACCCTCAGGGCTGCTGTAGTAGCTGGATCACAGTAGGCTCTGTTGCTCTGAAGACACAACTAACTAGAGCTGAGGAATTACACACTCACCGAAGTGCCTTACAGCTGTAGGAGAGAGAATAATGAATTGCTAAAAGGCTTCTCTTTGATTTCAGATTACGGTGCTAGTTGTGATCCATCTTTTTAGGACATTAACAAAAATCATGGCCATGAAATAACCATGAAACTAAAAGGAAAGTTTGTCATAGCTATTGATGATTTTTCAAGATATTAATGCAAATATTTTGTTTAAAATTTATCCTTCTAAGGAAAAAAAGCAATACTATACTTTCAGACTCTTGTTAACAAGGAATTAAAATCAGATCGGTTCTTACATGCAGCTATTTAGAAAGCCAGTTTATTAAAATAGAAATTTTTTTTCAATTGTTTTTATGTGAAACAATGATTTACATTTTTTGGTATTTTAGATAATTTTGTTTGCCCTAAAGTGATTGTAATTAATATAGAAATTAGATGATCTGATTTAGTGTGAAACTGCACTGATACATGTTTTGAATACTGTATCGGTGCATATCTTTATGCAGTTGCAACTTAATGATACTCATGGTATGTTTTTGTGCTATTAGCTTATATTTAAATTCTACTTAAAACTTAACTCTCACATTTCTGAGACCAGTTTATATACTTAGTAAAGCTTCACTTTTTAGCAATAAAGATATTACCTTGAAAATCCAAGTATGTGCATCTGAAAGTATCTGAATAATACTTTTCTCTTGAATAAGGCCAAAAAAAATTTTTAAAGCCCTCCATGTAAATTTACAAATCATCTAATATGGAGAATGAGATTTCTGATATTCATTAAATATCAAAGAAATTCCAACCAGACCCAATGCAGCTACCTTTTCATATAAGTGAATTTATGCATGTATTGTAGGGGCTGCACTGGTGAATATGTTCAAGCCTTTGGGCTCTTAGTGGATACAAAATAGAATGATTGATAAAATCCTCCCTACTATTGGCTATTATTTACTGACTCTTAAGTGGCAGGTTGTATTTATGCCAATTTATCTGCTTCAGGGAACATTCTTGATAGCAGAACAAAGTGAATAAAAGTAGTTTGCTTTGCAAATGAATGCAAATGAGAGAGCCTTTCGGAAAGCCCTTTAACAGGGGCAGTGCACTTTGATTAGGAGTGAAGCTGCCATTTGGACGTGGTGAAAAGAGCACGCTTGAACCATTGATTGGGGGAGACAGTAAAAAGTCAGGAAGGGCCCCGTTAAGCTTGCAGTGAGGCAGGCGGATGTCAGTGTGGTTAGAGCACAGTGGGAGAATGACAGGGGGATTAGTGTCAGGGAGCAGCTTTGCGGTAGCTGTGGAGATAGTCCCCGGGGCCACTCACCTCTGACTGTTGTGTGTTCTAACGGTTCTGTAATGCAAACTGCCTGATGCATGCCTGTTCATTATCGGAAATGGCGATTAGAAAAGGTATTTGTTTCAAAGATTTCCTTCCAGAATCTCTTCGAATCTCTTCGAATCTCTTCCTTCCTTCTCGTTCGTTCCCTCCCTCTTCCCTTCCTTCCTTCCTTTTCTTCTCTTTCTCTTCCTCTCTCTTTCCTTCCTTTCTTTTCTTTTTTCCTTTTCTTCCTTCCTAATTAAAGGAAAATAAGGTAGGTTTCCTCAATCTCTGCTGACAGTGTCTAGAATTAATACTAGAGTGGCTACTGCCTCTGATGGGGGATAGCTTAGTACTAAGATAAAGTAAAATAATCGTCACACGGTTGCTCCTCAGTAGTAATTTTGTTTTTCTTTGCTCACTTTGAGATTTGGCCACTGGTAGTGCTGAGTAAAGCATAGAGAGACACAGTTGCTGTTAGAATTTTGTGTGGCTTTATGTTTTTAAGATGCTTTACTTATTCAATTTAATAATTTTGTCAACTTATGGACTCTATTTACCTTTTCAAAAATGAAATGTTGATTTGCATGGATGGCTTAAGTCTTGGTCACAAATGTTTCTAATTTGTTCCCAAGTTTTATAAAAACTACCATTTAACAAGTCAAACTTCTTAGATACTTTAAAAATTAACTATTGTTGGGCCGAGGATTTAGCTCAATGGTGCCACCGCCCACCTCACAAGCACAAGGGCCCACGTTCAATCCCCGGTACCAAAAAAAAAAAAAAAAAAATTAACTATTGTTACATAGAATGAACAACAAAAAAAATCTTTGTCTCAGTTCTGTTTTTAAACCAGTATTTACATGTTCACATTTTCATTTATGCTTCTAAGATTTGTTTTGCTTTCTTTATATTTTAAGCCTCCTAGTCTGTAATAGTCATGTGAGGCATTTGTGAGCAGCATTGCATTCTGTAGCAGAAATAGACCTCATAGGCTTCAAAAATAGTTTCTCATTTTATTGTAAAGCTGAATGGTCCTTTTTTAGTGTCTTCAAAAGTGGTTTTGCAGTATTTCTGTTTTCTTATTTGGTATACATAGGAAAATCTTTAAAAGGCTGCTGGAACTTTCAGATATACACTGTAGTTTTATTTTTCTCAGAAAACATATTGCCAGTAATTTGTTTCATGGACTTGTTAAATGTTTTAGCAGGCATTCTCCCAATTATCTTTTTTATTTTCTTTACTGTTTTGCAGGCACCTGAATGGACAGAAGAGGACCTTAGCCAGCTGACAAGAAGTATGGTTAAGTTCCCAGGAGGGACCCCAGGTCGATGGGAAAAGATTGCCCATGAATTGGGTCGATCCGTGACAGATGTGAGTTCACTCAGATTTGCATTGTATGGAGAGTAACTAACCAGAACTAGCCAGCTATGTAGAAGGCAGACATAGATGGGTCTACATTATCTTTGGAGAAAGGCTGCAATTCTTTGGAGACCTGGAAGTGACCCATTAATGAAATAAGCAAGAAGCAGATGTGAGTCAGTCCCCTGGTCCACAATTAACAGCTGTGTGAGGAATTCTAGTATTTAGATTTAAGCTACTGAAACCTAATCACAGAAAAACAGTGCCAGGTATTGTGTTTATAGTGACCTTTTAATTGTGGAAAAGATAGTTCTCAACTGATCAGAATTAGAGAAGTTGTATTTCAGCTGGATCTTTTTAACAGTGAAGTGCAGATTGCTGGTATATTTAGACAGGTGGTTGGGTTAAGTGAGCACTATTGCTATAATGTAAATAGAATGTTTGCCATCTCCATTTGAAGGATGTTACGGACCATTCGTTTTGATAAGTTGTGTTTGTGTGTATACAAATAAATGTACACACATCCATATGACCATGCCTATATATACATGAATGGCCCTGTCTAACATTTAGAAAACAGTATTTACCTAGAAAGGTTTTTCTTAACACTTTAGATCCCTTTATTCAGGTATTGAGTGAAGAGAAACTTTTAAAAAGCACCCACAGTGCCTGACATGTAATTGAAATTGGGGGGGTGGGGGGCCTTATTTGTATCAATTGTCAAATTGATATTTTTATAAAAGGTAACATTCTGATGAGCTAAAAATACTTAATAGCATACTGGAACCAAAGATTTCCCTTTAATTCTGTTAGCATGTCATGCGGTCTTTTTTGAAAATGAACACAAAACTTAAAAAAAAACAAAACCCGCTGTGAAATGATTGCTAAACACAGCTATCAAAAAACACCGGAAAGGGCCGGGGATTTAGCTCAGTGGTTTCGCCGCCTGCTGCGCAAGCACAAGGATTCGAGTTCGATCCCCGGTACCAAAAAAAGAAAAAAAAAAAAACACCACCAGAAAATAAAACCTATAGAAGCTTGCCAAAAGTACTATAAGTCACTTTTCGCCGTGGTTATCTTTTTTTGGGGGGGGGGTACCGGGGATCGAACTCGGGTTCTTGCGCTTGCGCAGCAGGCGGCGAAACCACTGAGCTAAATCCCCGGCTAAGTCACTTTTCATAGTAAACTTTAACTTTTTAATTTAAAAACAAACTTTAAAAAATAATACTGTCGAGATTTTTCTTTTTTCCTTTAATTCTTCTCTCCTCCTTTGAATAGAGCTGCTTTTAGAATCTCAAATTTTATATATATGAATATTATAGTGTACAGGTCTTTCAAAAAATCACACTTAAAAGACCACTGTTTGAGTTTTTATAAGATGTTTTGTGTTGTTTTCACTTCAGAGTAAAGAATAATCATGGGGAAATAGTTGTTGTAATGCTAATAATTTTTTGGTTCCTATTTCTTAAGGAGACCTTTAGTGACTGGGGAACCAAGAGTTACCTCTCCTTCTGCTAAGGCTCCTGCTGGCATGGGCACTGGTTTTCATGTGAAGCTTGTTTACAAAAGATCAAGTTAGTGATGACTTGCCAGTAAATATCTGACCACATTAAAGATATTCCATGGTTATTGATGTTTTAAGTATTATGAGCCTGTAATTATACAGCTGCCAATAGCGTAGTGATGAACAAAATTACTAAAATAATGTCTAGAAAGTACAAAACATTGACATAAAAGGGCACGGAACCTTTAGTTCAATTGCTTTCTGAAAAAGAATAGCGCACTAACTTATTACTCCTTTTAAGTTTTTACGTATTTCTTTGAGGTTCTTTGGTTAGTTAATGCTAATGGCAGATAGGAAATTGAATGGAGTCATAGTTTAATTTGTCATTAAAATCTGATTTAATTTTCCTCTGGTTTTTTGAGAGAGATGAAAGTTTTTAAAAATGCTCAGAATGTGTACGCTATAACCAACAGCCTCATAGACCTAGACTATCTATACTCCATTTACAAGCGTGGTCATGGTGCAGAGGCGTCTTTTAAACTTCTGTGGGTTCATGCTGAGTGTTTTCTTCCCCCACACCTCCCCCAGGGGGACTGATTGTATGTCTGCTATAGAAATTTTTTCTGTCACAGAAGTGGCAAGCATGGCTTTTTGAGTGTGTGTGTGTGTGTGTGTGTGTGCGCTGTGTGCCCACCAAATATTAGTTCTCTTTTCATAAAATCAAAAGTACCCTGGAAATAGTAGACCTAAACTTTTGTAGCACCAAAGACTGCCCTTGTCACTCTTCTGAGTGAGGCACCCTGGACTGCGTTTTCGCTGTGCGTCCTTCCTGTGGCTGCACTCTTCATTTCAGGTCAGCAGCTGTGCACAGCACACCCTCGTGTGCCTGCCGTCTCTGAGCGAGAACAGGTGTCCCGCAGACTCAGGCACCGCAGTTGAGGAGCGCTCGGAATGGCTTAGCAGTCACTGAAGCCGCTGAAATGGGCTTGGCTAGTGCAGTGCCTCAGAAGAGTGTAAAGTGAAAGTCAGTCACACTTTAACAGATCGCTTAGCTTCTTTTTGGCTTATGGTGTTAATTAGATTTGTTTTCATTAAGTATTTGAGTATGAAAAAGAAGCCGGGTTCAACTGGCTGTCACGTCTTCTCTTTCCCTCTGCATCCTGACCTGACCACTGACCAGCTTGCCCCACGCAGCACAGCTGTTATTTGACCCGGTTTCCTTGCTAAATTTGTAGCTTCAGGCTCACTTCTTTTTCTGCCCAGAAACAATTGACCTTTGGAGGGGTGAGGTGGAAGTGTGGCAGTGGTGGGATCTGCGTGGTTCTTTATTTGGTTTGACAGATTATAGGGAAACCCTGTTTTATTCCTCAATTAAGAAAAGAATTAAGTATGTTAATTGTTAAAATTAGTAGCTAGATTGCTAAATTCTACTCTGGATAAATACAAGGAATGTTTTTAACTTTAAGAAATATTGACACAAAGTGTGTGTTAACTTAGATACACCTAAACTATAAGGCATACTTTATTGTAGATTAAATATTTTAAATGTCAATATATGCCTTCCAGCAAATAACTGTAGTAACCACAAAGGACACTCAAATTATAAAAACAACAGAGGAAACAAAAACTGTCTGGCATGTAAAACCAACTTTAATGTGATTATTAACTGCAGGTTTTCTAAATTAAAGTCAGGGAGCCTCAGATTTCTTGCTTGAGAAGTAATATTATTCTCTTGCACAAAAGGATATAAACTGATTCTGCTTTTCTCCATTATCACTAATCTCTTGCATTCTGATTGTGATAACAGACTGATTGGAGATTCTCTGCTTGCTTAGAAAAGGCCCAGGTAGGCAGCAAAACAAAAGACAAGCGGCTGGATTTAAACCGACTTTTATAATTAGCTTAGCGCCCTTGTGTGAGATGAGAGGTGTGTAGTTAGATGGGCAGCCTGTTATGCCAGTGAAGAGAAAATAGAATACAATTTCCAGTTTTATTTTACGTCACTTCAGCTAGTGTGGAGACAGAGGACAACACCTATTGGGAAAATTCACTTGTCCTTGTTATGGTGGTTTCAGAAACACATAAATGGGTTGTTGAATTGAAAATAAGCTTCATAGTTTATTAGTGAGCTAAACATACAGTAATTATTTTGGCAAATGTGTTACAGTTACTTTAAAAGTCTGAATAGCCCCCCTCAAAATTGTGAACATGACAAGAGCTGTCTTTTTGGTTTCTGCCTTGGTGCTTTACTAGCTTCCTGGTCTAACAAGCAGCTCTCTTGGCCTTTGCCTGACCTCGTACCCCTTACCCTCAAACCTCACAACCTTCAGAGTCATTTGGATTTTAGAAAGGAATGAGTGCTTTTCCCTGTTCTCCTTGCATGCTAGATGAGGCATTAGCTAATGGGATACACAATTTTCAATGGAAGTTTGCAGGTTCCTGTCTCAGGATATGAGTGACTGGTATAGGCTTTATAAGCAACCTGATTGTCAGTTTGAAGGAGAGAGAAAGCAGAGCAGTATTTTGAGGTAGTGGGACCTTTTGTGTCCATCAGATAAGACCACATAATTAATTACTTAATCTTTCCATTGACATGGTTGGAGTTCTTCTACGTGTATATAATGTAGTGATTAATGCAGATGTTTCTGTCCTCCACTTTAATAAAGAAACCTATTGTTTAGCTCTTTGTTTTAATATTAATCACTAATATGAGATAAGCATATATTGTGCTGGGAAAGTTTTCTTCATTTTAATTTTTTTCAATTCTAATTTATGACAGTTATTTTCAGGAATACAACTGAAATTTTAACAATTTCTTAGCATTTCTTTAAAATCATATAATTTTCTTATATGACCTAATGAAGAAGAATATATTATCAAAGCCCTTTGCATTTCCAAGATAAATTTTATACAGTAAACTTTGTCATATAAAATTACTCTTAACGAACAGATGGATTTAACTTACTAATTTATTTAAGATTGTTGCTTTTATATACAGAAGTGAGGTTATAGAATTTCTGATGTTCTACTAGTTGGATATTTTAGGTTAGGGTTATCGCAGCCTTCTAAAATGTGTTCATTTTAGCCTGCTAAAATTAGTTCACTATACCAGCCTTCTGCCATCTACAAAATCAAGGATCTCGGTTTTTTGTTTTTTGGGTTTTAAAAAATTTTTTGGTACCAAGGATCGAACTCGGGACCTTGCGCTTGGGAGGCAGGTGGCAGAACCACTGAGCCAACTCCCCAGCCCCGCAAAATCAAGAAAATATCGAATTCGTAAAACAAAGAGCAGGGTGCTATGAAAAATCAGAATCAAAAAAAATAAACGAAGTAGAATGGCTGAAAGTTATCATTATGAAAATCTTGAGGGCAGAATAAAAAGATAAATACAGTCAAGAGGCCCCAAGTCCAATTAGGAGATGCAGTGAAACAGAGAAAACTTAAGAGGCAAAATTGTCGTTCAATAAATAATGTTTTTCAGAATGTAGAGACACCTGAGACCAATTTT